AGCAGGAATCAACTGGTGTCCAAATCAAGAGAAGGGAAAGGGAAGCTTAGAAAAGTTCCTTCAGTAGTAGGAATGTTTTATACACTTTAATTCTTCCACTTGGGTTATCTGAGCCTATCCTATGCATATTATCTTAAAAATGTCTTATGGCTAGTTTAAGATTTGAGAAAAGGTTTGGGATAGTTCCTGTTTAAACCCTGACCAACTGCTTAGTTTGGTAATCATCAGGCTTTCATACCACACAGCACGTTTTTTTTGGGGTTGGATATCCTTATTAAATTTTAAAGATATTCTTAGATTTCAGCCTTCAAGATTCCAGAGATGCCTTTTATAATATAAACATGAGTAGACAGTTTTGACTTTGAGGTTAACTTTGTTAACCCAAGGTTAGCCCAGACTTATTTGTTAGCTGTGGGACGTTTTGGGAAAAATAAATTAGTTGTAGCAATATGCCTATTAATATTGGAGTAACACAGTCTGGTGTGTTGGGATGCTTTTTATTTTCCTTCAGTTTACCTGGTATCTCTTAATAAGGTTATATGGGGAAATGTGTCTCCTTTGCTGTTTGAGAGGAGTTTTTTAGTGTTCTAGTGCCACCTATTGAATTCTTTTCAAATGCATCCTATTCAATTGCTATAATAAATCATATATGTTAGAATAGAATTGTAGAAGAGCAGGAGACCTTTAAAATGCTTAGAAAGACATATAATTGCCATGAAATTCTGTTAAAATGCCTGTGCTTATTTGGAGGCAAAAAAGGGCAATCTAGGACTATTATTTTCCAAACGTTTCTAAGAAGTGATCTGCTCTAGTTGATGCTGACCTGAGCAGGGCAGTTAGACTAGACGATCTCTTGAGGTCACTTCCAACCTCGAGTTCTATGATTGTGTGTAACGTTTAACATCTGTCACCATGAATCAGCAATAAACCTCATGCTATATTTAAGCTAGTAGCATTATTCCTAACTTAACAAGGGAGAGGATGGGGAAAATGATTTCACAGGAATCTTAAGGAAATGAATGAGGCACTGTGACAACCTTATGAGCCCTCTTTTGCTCATTTTATCTTACTTCCCTTGGAAGAGGGAATCTTGAAGCATATATTTTGTCTCCATCATGTTTGCATTAGAGATTAGTAAATAGCTTGAAAAGTATTTCTAAATGTTTCACTAATCTCTGAGCAGAGTTTCATTTAGGACTTTTTCTGCAATACCTTTTATTCTTTTCCTGGAAACAGTTATTTAAGTGTAAGTTGATATGTGTAGATGTTCACAGAAAGTTAATTTTGGGCTTGAGGTATATTTAATGTGCTGAAGCAAAGTAAGATTTAGGAAGGTGGGGGAATAATTGATTCTTCAGCTGGTTAAAGAAAGAAAAATCATATTATGGAATTTAGAGTGACCAACTGCCAGCTTTGAAACACTGAATTTAAAAAAACATGACGGTACATTGAAAACAAATTCCTCATGGCAAATATGAATGAACATACGTATTAGCTTTTACAAGGTTCCTTGGCAGTTTAATGTACACAGATTATACAACTGCTGTTAATAAATGTTCCAGTCCTTACCAGAGATTTCAGAAGCTAAAGATACATTGACAGGTCAAAATATCATCTATATTTTTGTTTCTTATCTGTAACATCTCTCAGGTTAGGAAGCTTCATCTGCTAACATTCTGTAGCTCTGAAAATTATATGCGGTTCTGTATTTCAATGGATATATATATATATATATGGATAAATGACTTCACATACTAGAGCTGTTAGTATAATGGCTTATAAACCCATGTTATTCAGTTTGTTGTCAGTCTACTATATTTTTAACAGATTATATTCTTGCATTTAAGAGCAATTTTATTTTGGCAGTTTCATGATTTCAGACAAACTATAGGCAAGCCCATATCCCCATCACATGGACCAGATTTTAGGCAACAGACCTCCCCACTTCTATAAATGAAGAATGAAGTAGCTAGCCCTGCGTTACTGTTTTTAACTGTGCTCCATTTGACTTCTGTTGATGCTTTTTCTTTAAAATATCTAACTACTGGCTTTTTCCAAATTTTAGTTTGTAGGAAGAGATCTTGAATAGCATACAGTCCACAATGAATTCAGCTACTCACTAGAAAAGTACTTACAAGATTTTAGCTTTTGTTTACATTCATTTTTCTATCATGGCTTATACACATTTCATTACAGTTCTGAGTATAAAGAAATTGCTCACTCTCTCACTTGGCTTTCCAGCTCTTGTATAATGAGGATTGTGGACAGGTAGGATTTTTCTTGACAACAGAATTAGTGTTGGTATCTCTTCTCAGCGATAAAGTCATTCTTCATTCAGCAAAAAGCCACCCTCTGTTGATATTGCTTGTACTTGTATACACTGCTGTGTGATGATGTGAAAGATTTTGAGGGTTTTAGCTTTTGGTATTGCAAAATACATTGTTAAACATTTAAGTATCCCCCAGTCAAATTCGTCCTGAGAAACATCGTTCAGAGAAATCCATACAAACCACTGGCCTTTTTCTAATATAGATGAAGTTCTCACTTTCATGCATTTGCTTACCTGGTGATATCTTTTCCCCACCATACTGCAGGAGATGAAAGTCTGGCAACTGCCAGCTCTCCCTCCCCTGTGTCACCTTCACCTGCACGCTCCACGTCACTCTCACCTCCAGGCACCACTGAAGGTAATGGTGAATTTGGGACCGTGGCATCGCTGCTCTTCTCCTGTTTCAGCTGAACTGGCATCTGTGTCTATCACACATTGGCTAACTCCATCACGGTTAGAGCAATATGGTGATTTATGTTGTCTGAGATCAATTAGAATGCAGCAAAATTTGTTAATATGATGAGGACATAATTAGTTTCTTTATTTTCATTAAACCAAAGATGGAGATTTGAAACATGCTTTTCAGAAAAGCGATTAGAATTCAAGCTATAACATACTGTTTGTTTGAGTTCACATTTTCCTTATGGACATCATTGAGCTCTCAGATGAGAGTTTCATGTTGAGCTGTCACAGTGGCACTTTCCTGAAATTCATGCAGAGCTCCTCGGGCACCACAGCAGTATCTGATGATTGTGGGAAGAGGGTCCTTCCTGTGTCAACAGCATGAGACAAAACCACCCCAATCAGTCTAGGCTTTTTGCAAGCTACACATTAATTCCCCCCTTCAGCTGGTGTTTTCAAACACCTGAAATCAGTAAATTCCCCCACACCTTGCTAAAGAAAGATCAAATCTCTTCGCCACAAAGTCATCCTAGACAAATTGGTGGAAATTTTGAATTAGTTACCTTGCAGACCTAATCATAAGCCATGCTTTTGCAATAAATCCAAGCAGATGTGTTGCACAGACTGTGCAGGACCTGGAGAGCAATGTAAACATGTTCTTTTTGCCAGTGCTGGAGGGAGAAATATAATCCAGAGAGCAGCTGGCAGCCTTTCTACTTGCAATGAGCTTCTCCCTTTCATGCATTGCTCACCTGATGGTATTTTTTCCCCATTGTGCAGCAGGAGATGAAAATCTGGCAACTGCCAGCTCTCCCTCCCCGGTGTCACCTCCACCTGCACGCTCCACATCACTCTCACCTCCAGGCACCACTGAAGGTAATGGTGAATTTGGGACCGTGGCATCGCTGCTCTTCTCCTGTTTCAGCTGAACTGGCATCCACTGCAGCCTTTTTGATGCTGTCTCCACCCCTCAGGCTGCACAGCATGAACTCTTGGCTCAAGGAAAAGTCATTTTTAATATGGACAGTATCAGCTCACATATATGCTTGATATTTTGGGGATCTGGTTGTTGCTATGTGTCACTAAATACTACTTAAGAATGTATAATTTCCTGGGGAAAGCTCATCTGATAGTTGGGAGGAAGGAATGTTTCTTTTTATATTTTTGGCATATGATTTTGTTTATTCCTTGAATGTTTAATTTACATTTTCTCTCTCTCTTTCTGTTTTTAAGGAGATGAGTCAACAGTGACTACACCTGGTAAGAAGCTCTTAATTTACATGACAGAATTGCACTGATGTTTTTTCCTAATTCTTTCTTCTTTCCTTTTCCTGCACACCATTATCTCACAGAGTGTGTAATGCCTTTGCATCCAGTCCAATTAAATGAAATGCACTATCTTAAGAGGCAAGAATATCAGACAAGTCTGGTTTTGAATAATGAATTTGAGTAAATTTTAAAACATATCATTTAGCATGAAAGAGATGCAGTCAGCCCCAAAAGGGATTATACTTTCTGGATGTTCAGCTGGCACCTGTTGGAACCCCTAACACCTTGAGCGTTCAGTGTGCCTTTGCTTACTAACAAATTCACAGTGCCTCAGTACAGGAGCACTCCAGCACAGCAGTCCTGTGTGGTGTGCAGTTTTGTGTCCCTCCTTGCCTGGGCAGCATCTGAAGCATTAATGGAACTGCTGTACTTCTCACCACAGGTGTCTCTCCTGCAGACAGCACATACCCCTCCACGCACACAGGCTCCATCCCTGCCATGGGACCCAGCAACCCACCACACAGCAGCACTACTGCCCTCACCACACGCACTCCCACTGCCTTCAAGAATGCTTCATCAGGTTTGCTGTCTTCCTTCAGATGCAACTTGCTGCTCTCTGAACTGTGGGGGAAAACCAAGTAATTCAGCCTCAGGGTAGCCTTTTCCAGCTTGTGGTTCATCAAATAGAAAAAGTATCTGCCATTTGGCATAGTGGCAATACCAGAATCATTTACAGGATCTAGTATCTGATGGCTGAGACTTGCAGTCGTTGCAGTAGTATCAGAATGCCAGCTGCTATGAACAAGGCTGGTGTCAAAGCAAGAGCAATAGGAATGGACCTAAAAGAGAATGTAGAAACCTATCGATGCTTTATAAGCAGGGAGATAAATACTGGGATAGTAAGTCATATAGTGAGCAAGGTATGTATCTGGGAAATGAACGCTACTGGAGTGCTTGTTTCTGCAAGAGCACAGGTACTATCATAATTGTGTTTTACTGTAAGAACATAGCAAAATGGTTTTGTTTTTCCCAGTTCATAATTATTGATGCCATTATTATGTTGACTCCATCCTGGATTATGCCTAAATAGTGAGAAAAAAAATTGTCCTTGTACATTGCAAATTTCATTAGTAAGTGGTATGTTCCTAAAAGCTTGATTTCTTTTTAAATACTCATCTTCTCTTTTATTGGATGTATTAACATGATTTTTCTTTCAGCACTCTTGTCTAGATTATGAAAATCCCAGAAAAAAAAATAAAAGCAAAGAAGGGCTGTAGTGTAGGACATTTCTGATGACATAGCCATATGAAAGAATTAATTCTACTTTTTAATGCTGATATGTTGTTTATTTCCTTGCAGATGATTACAATTCAACATCCTTGCACAGCACCATCTCACCAGTCAGCATGCCAGCAAACACTGGAATCATCCCCACTCACACAATAGGTGACAAACTTGCACACAGTTATCACAATTATAATACTGCAAGCAGAGAAAATGTGTTAGAACAAGGGAATTCATTCTGAATTTCTTTTATCAAACTTAAGCATTCAAATTAGGCATACAACTGCATTAAACTTAAGGGGTTTTTTTTTAGGAATCTTATTAATAGTTTATGAGTAATATTTCAGATAACAGATTTGCTTCTTGTCAAACAAGTGAAAAATAGAAGTTATTTCCACACAGTGGTGTAGTAGGAGGGTAAATCTGTCAATTACTGTGTCAGTACTCCTCTTGTTATTCACAGAAATTTGCCCAGGCAGCAAAAAAGTATGAATATATCCACAGATCTGTGTCCTTCTCTGTTTTCTGGTGGCTTCCCTTTTGTTTCACTCAACATTAACGTTTTCTTGGGATCTAATATTGCAAGCACTTACACACATTATTATTGCAACTGGGCTGTAAGGAATTACTCAGGTCAGTAACATATATTTGTGTGCTCGAGCAAAGTACAACCAGGAGTTGGACTCTTACCATCTTTGTAGCTGCCCTTCAACTAGCTGTAGGCTGCTGTCAGCTCTTTGAAAGACTGCACCTAGCTTTTACTTGTAGGTCTTCTGCCCCTAACCATCTTGGTAACCCTTCACTGGACCCTCTCAGTTTACCCTCTCATTAGGGGCACTACTCAGCCAGATGACCCCCAACCTGGAGGGATGCAAATCTAGGGTCTATCGTCTATGAAAAACATTAGATGTCAGTCTCTTTTGGTAATACTTTCACCTTAGTATATTTTAAGTAATTGTTTTCAAGACGTAGTTCTTTGCTTAGTCTTCCGTACACATTTTCCAAATACCAGCTCGTAATTTCTTTTGGGTATTTCAGTGTAAAAATAGTTGTAAATCAATCTGTACTGTTGCATAAATCTCTTTCCAAAGGTGAGTAGCTGTGCAAAAAGTGGTTAATTTTTGTTTCTTTAGTGACAGTGGACACTGTTCATTTAGAACTGAACTTCCAGTTATCTCCACAGGATACATATACGGGGAAACTGCTATAGCTTATCATAATGCTAGGAATGATTTTAGAATATTTTTGGGTAACCTTGTATACAGAAGTGTTATTAATAACCAGTTTGATTTGTAGTCAGTGGTGTCATTGGAAAATGATGAAAGACACAAGGTCCCTAAAATAACTAGTTAAAAAATGGGGTTATATGTAGCTAATGTTTCCTTCCCTTTTTCAAATGTGAGTGGAGTGTTAAATACAATTACTTGTATTGAATATATTGAATTAAGAGTCTTGGGCAGTACCAGTCAACCTCATCCGATGCTGTATTAAAAAAAAACAGACCAAACCTGCTGAGCTACACTTTAATTTTGTTTTCTTTTCTTATAGAAACTCCCACAGTGACAACTGAAGAACCTTGTGGTAAGAATCAAACCCCTTATTTATCACGGTCCTGAAATTTGACCAAATCACTAAACTAAAATACAGAAAACTGATGAGTAAAACTGATCAGTTAGCAACTTGGGTTATTTTATAATTCTCCTAATTCCAGAAGAGTAGGATTACAGTTATTATCATTTCTGGTCTTCTTATCTCCATTTACAGCTCTGTTAAATTGCCCTGCACAAGGCTGTTGATATGGAGGCTGCAGAAATTATCTACCTTCATTCCACTAGGTCCCCTATAATTTTTCCGCATTGTGCTGATAATCACATGCTGGAAACTGTAATCCATAACTGAAGAAAAACTAAAGTTTGAACATTGGTTTATCTCTTTTCAGAATTAGAGACCTCTCCTTTTTAGGAATAGACTATATCCATTATTTAGTAGATGGCTGTGCTATGCTTTGAATAAGAAGATTTGAAATTTCTGTTCAAACAAATGATTCAAAGTGTCAAAACAAAGTACTTAACTTTGAACTGTCATTTTCAGTTCAAGCAAATCTAGTTCTGGAATATTTATCTTTTTAATTCTTTAGTTTTCCTAACTAGAGAATTACTGAAAACCATATTTTCCTAAGGAAATTTTCTATTTTGACTAAACAATTTTTTTAAAGTAGAAGATAAATAAAAAATAAAAATGAAGATTAAGGAGCAGCTAATATTGCTGTATTTTCTGATTCTTAAAATGCAAATGGCACAGAGGATGCCATAAAACATTTAATAGTTCTTAAAAATTGTCATAACATCAATGTTTGCTATTTTTTTTTTTTTTCTTTTAGATGCTGATATTGTCTACAACATAAGTGTAAAAGACGAGAATAACTTGGCTGAAGTTACACTGAATAATCTCAGAAGAAACGCAGAATATGTTATTTTGGAGGCAAACAAGACTTTTAGTGTGGATTCCAGCACCCATACCATAATACTTCAGACATGCATGAGATACACAATTAGCGTAAAAAATTGCATATACAATATTTTTACTATTCCGCCTGGTAGGTGTAGAAGGGTTTTAGTAGGTTTTTTGTTGTTGTTGTTGTTTCGGTTTTTTTTTTTTCTTGACATGCAGTAATTCAGCTTTCCTGGATTTCTTAGTCTATTCTTGTCTCTTTTCAGAGTTGGACAGAAGATTTTAATATTTTGTGCTTGGTTTGCAAGATATTTTGCATTTTGAAGTTGCACCTTAAAATCTCTCAGTATTTTCTTAAAGTAGGATGTAAAAAAACAAATGTAATTTTCCCATTGTAAAGGGAAAAAGGGAACTTGAATTATGTTAGCCATATGCAGCATGGTTAGCAAGAGCAGCCAGCAGTTGAAAGCACTACTATTTCTGCTGGATGGTTTGTTGACTAAAGAGGTTGTTGGATTAAAAGTTTTGTTTGTTATTTGAATACAGGCATTGTCTTTATCTCATGTAAGCTTTTTCAGATTTTGCTTTCCATTTCTTGTTAAATTCTTTGTACATTATTCTGTGCCAATTCTATCTTCATATTGCAGAACAGGTGAACAAATATAAAAGAAAAAAATGCTATTTAAAGAATCAATATATCTAATGTCACAGTAACATATATTTTTAATCCTTTTCAGCCCGCCACAAGAATCCTATCGAAGTTGAGAATATAACCAACACATCTGCAATTTTATGTTGGGAAAAATCATTAGCCTGTGCTAATGTGACTGTTAGCTGCAAGGGTAAGACACTTCTAAACTATTTTAAAAGTTCATAATTTACTTATTTTTAAAATGTTGATGATGTCTTTTGATGAGAGACTGGCAAGTTTAAATTAATTTTGCCAGTTTGAGGGAAGGGCTGTTCAGAATTTCTGGGCTCACCAGGTTGGGGATTACCGTCCCCATGCACCACAAATCACAGACTTCGGAAGATTTAGAAGTCTTGCTTGACGGTCTGCAGGGGACCTGAGAATTTGGAAATCCTGCAGTCTGTGAGTCTGCTGTGAGCTGATCCCTTGTGGACTACCCAGGAAGCAGCTCTGCAGGCTCCTGGATGGCAAGAGTCTGGTCTTGGATCTCGCCAGCCTGAGGAGACTTAACTGGCTTAAAGGCAGTTAGTGTGGTAGTAAAGATATGGATGTTGGATGTCCTTATGTGTCCCAGAAAAATGAGTTATGAATGTCCAGGGATGGAGATTTCACATTTCAGGGAGCCAAAGAGCTAAGAAGCTACTCCAGGGTTCTGCCAGACTCCCATTAAATGTTTTGATTTCTGTGGGAAAACTGTCTTAGAAAGTCAAATCATATGAGCTTTACTGGTGAAAAGTAAAGATCTATGCAAACTAAGTTAGTATAAAAGAACCTAAACCCTAGTCATTGGATTAGGTTGTACACTTTTCTGTTTGGAATATTATGATAGTTTATTACAAATTATATTGAATAAATATGGTAGAGAAAATCCCAGTTAAAATGATACCAAGTACTTTTGGAGTTGTGAAAAATATTAAGAAAACTCTTTTTGTGTCCACAGATTTCCGAGACTTTACAGTATTAAATGAGATTTGTACAGAACTGAACCCTTTATCACCCAACAAGGAGTACAACTGCAATGGTATCATACAGTTTTTTGAAAAGAGGGTTGTCAGTCAAAGCTTCATCATAATAACAGATTATGGTGGTAAGTGTAATGCTTATTTTCACTTTGTGTTCCACATATTTCTGGAAAACCCTACTATGAATCCCACTATCCTGTGTTTCCTGAGGTTGAAGACATATTTTGAGCAACATGCTCAGCCACTCTCAGATACTTCTCCAGCTCCTCTTTCCTGGTCTGCTGCTCTTGTAGTTGTTCTTCAACTGCAGTCACAATCTTCCTTTCTGTCTCCAGCCCTAGACACAGTTTTCCAGTCTAATGCCTTCCTCTCCTTCTCTCAGAAATTATGATTTTTTTTTCTTTTTTTGTGGGTGACAAGATGGGAAAATGTAATGAAGTTTGAATGAAGACAAAAAAAAGTGCAGGCCTAGTAAAAAAAACTGAAAGAAAGATGTGATAGAATAATTGCAAATAATGTCTCCAGATAAAATGATGTGTTTTTCCAAAAATTTGTCCTTGGAAATAGGTTAGCTTTTTTTTCTAAATTAAAAAGGAAATCAGCATAAATCAAGTAACCTGGAAATAAAAATTCAGGCCAAACATTTAAAGCTTGTTAAATTTATAAGAAAATCAAAACAATGTATTATATTTGGAAATGTTGGGCAATTTTAGTAATATGTGATATTGCTGTATTCACCTTGTCCTGAACTAATTAGATTTATGAAATTAATATGATGCTTTTACATCCACTCAGTTTATACTTACGTATAATTTCACTGAATGAAATAGACTACAGAAAACATTACGTGTTGTTGGTATCTTGATTTAATATCCAATTAAATTTAATCAAAGTAGGTAGAAAGAGGAATATTTAGCATTGTCATTCAAACATTTCCTTCCCTTCCTGTTATTTTTCTTTTACAACAGCTCCAGAAGCACCAGAAAACCTTACAGTAGTTTCTCATGCACGAAACGTGTCAGTTAGCTGGAAGAAACCTAGCGACATTTCAAAGGGTCCTATACATGGATATGTGGTGAAATGCATGGAAAAAGGTAAGTATATGCCCCTTCAATATTGAATAATTCATTACATGTTTTAATATTCACAGAGCACCAAGCATGATGCACTGTCAAACCATATTGGAATCTCTTCAAACTGTGCAGATTTGGGTTTTTTTTTTTGTAAAAACATTTAAGTTTCTTTCCTTTGAGGTTGTTCCAGTTGAGCCGTGTGGTATTCAGTTTACGATTTCAGGACATAATTCTGTCACCCTTCAGTTCTCATGCTTCTTGAGCTAAGCGCAAGTTAGGACAAGATCGTCAGTTGCCTTATCAGTTTGTAGCATGGTACGCTGTCTCAGAAAATGCAGCGGGAGCTGCTTAATAGATTATCTGAGAAGACAGAGACCTGCCTTCTGAGTGACAACAATGTATGAAAAAGTCAGGGGTCCCAAGTATGGCAGTTACCATATACATGTTTAGATAGGTAAAGCCAACTGGTTGTCTTCTACTAAACAGTCGCTCCTTTCAGGTACTGCTGTTTTAGGCAACCTTACATTTAGATGGGTAAGTCTATATCTGTTATACAGGAAACATGATTTCCAGGTGCCAGCTTTTCTTCAGAACAAGGACTGGAAAATGATGTTTTGAAAATTAAGAGCCTGATACATGATTCTAGGAAATATATGTCAGGTTTAAGCTAGTCCTAGATTAATTAATTCTTTTTCTTCACATACTGCATGTTTTGTAAACCTGGACTGCCACGGGAACCAAAGGCTGTCATGCTCCTGTGCTTCCTAGATACAAATAATCTCTCCCATTCTCCATACCTCACATTTGACCACTACCCAAAAGGTTGGCAGCCCCATGTACCAGTTTCTGCGGTCAGTCTGGCTTGGCTGGTGTGGAAGACTGAGATAGTATGATGGGGTGCAGGGAGGTCACATCTGAAGCAGCCAGGAGGAGACATGGAAAGGCCATTGCTCCCCGGTTCCCCAAGCCACCAAAGCCCCAGCTGCAGTGTGGATAACAGCTTTGCTCACATTGCTTCTTGTGCAATTCCTTTCTGTCCTGCTTGCTGCTACCAAAAATACACAGCATCTCTTGCATCATACCAGAACAGACTTGCCCAGTGTGCAAAGTGACTTTGGACATCTGTCTACTAACCCCTTCCCAAGCTGAATGCAGAAGAGTGTCAGCCTCTCTTTATCAACGTGCTTTGTGTTAGTTTTTAAGTACATCCACTTGAATGACTTACCGAGGAAGTAAAAACCAAAACAGAAAAAAACTTTAACTTTCTGCCTTTTTGATTGGGGAATATATTTTTTCCTCTTCCAGAGCCTTCACTTAGCATTAGTAAGCAAGTCAAACCAACAAGTACAAGGTAATTAAAATAGAAGTACACATGATAGCAGTTTCAGGTAGCTCTAATGAAGTGTAGGAGTTCCTGTGCTTCTAACATAAATTACATTAATTTCATTAATTAATTTTATTTTTAATTTTTTCTTAAAGAGGAAGAATTTGTCAACACGACTAACTTTATTTGCCATGAATTAGAGCCTTACACCAGGGGTTTTGTATATGTGACTCCATATACAAACAGCAAATATAATGGTAGAAAATTTATGGGAAAAGAGGGAAGACTTGACTTTACAACAAAATCTGCAGGTAAGTCTCTTGTTTGCTAATTATTACGAACACGGCTGATACTAACTCAGGGAATATGTACTTTCTTTTTGTACTTAATTATATTTTATATATGCTACTACTATTAGCCAAGAAACTGATGAACAATAAAAGAATTTTATTAACCTTCATATATTTAGTATTTCTTTTTTTAATTACATAGTGTCAATCTATTTTTAATTATGCATTTAGTATTAGTATTCTTCTTATATATACTAGATTTTTTTTAAAAAGATTCTGCATTAATTTGAAATTCTTGATAAAATTTTAGAAAGAATTATGTCCCAAACTAAAGAAAAGTTTCTTTGTGGCATGAAAGCTACCAAGATGTACAGAATGTACCTTCTGTTCTGTAGTTGCCTTGTTTACTCAAAGCAGACCTGCATTACCCAGGCTACACCAATACTGACGTCTATACCGGGTTTCAGTTAGTTTGGATGTACACATACGCAGTCAGCTTCTAAGACTCCACATTAGGTTAAAGCCAAATGTGTGCCAACCTTTGTGCTGTCAGAAAGGTTTGCACACCTTTTTTGGCTATACTTTCAAAAGCTTACCCCCATGGTCCTGATTTTTTGTGTGCCATACGTGTCCAATTGATAAATCTACAAGAAAAGCTGAAAGAAAAAACAAGCCAATGGACTTTGGAGATATTTTCCTAATGCAGACAAGGCGTGATGGATGCAGTTCTTTCTATATTGTTGGTTTGGGGTTTTTCTTTCCCCTTTTAATCTTCAGATGGAGCCTTGTACTGTTTTAATTCATTCTTTGGGGATAAAAGAAAACAAACCAAAACCAAAACTACACAAAACCCCCCATGTTTATCTAATTACTTCCAGTACTTTTTTAGTTCTAGTTCCACCACCACCTCCAAACTCAGCTAATATAGAGATACAGCTATAGGGAAACTATGATGGTTTATACCTGTAAGATACTAAATTAATATTTCCTCTAATTTAATTGAATAAGCAATTTTTTTTTTAGTGAAAAATAAAATAGTGTTTTTGTGCTAGTGATGTAATGATAGTTTAAAGTGGTGGGGTTTTTTTTACATAATAGCAGGGATAATTAAATATTTTGTTGCTTTCAGCACTCCTGAAAACTATGTAGAAATGGATATATCAGAACATTAAATCTGACTGCTGTTTTTATTAAATGCATTTCTTTAGAGTCTGAGGAAATACAGGGGCTTCTGGCAGAATATTGTTTTGAATTTGAATCCTGTCCCTCTGTGGAATATAAAGAGCTTTTGTATCCAGTTTTATAGACAATCCCTAAAAATATTGAAATCTCCCTGTTACTCTGGGTCATTGAGCTAACAAATTTTAGTTTATAGTATGAAAATACAGGGATCAAAGTTATCACCTGAAGCCTTATGGGGAAAAAAGAAAAAAAAAGCAGATAAATTGATTGATAATGTAAACCATTTCATCTGAGACTTAACTGTAACAGAAAATGAAAAATGTCTAATTTTTAGACAGACCTAATTTGAGGATGATCAACATTTTTCTCTCTAGAATCTAGTTTGAGCATATTACATTTTGGAGCCCCCCCTTTCTGGGGCTCTACTCATATTTTAATAAATCAGGTCAAGATTATAGTCCACAATGTAAGTTTATGGGTTTGTAAAACAACCTAAGTTCCCTTATTTTTTGAGAAAGTACCAAGTTGCTTGCATTCATTATTTAATAGTATTTATTAAACATTCTCCAATTGCTACAACAATGGATAACATGATCAAGCAGGTAGTGCAAGAGTTTTATGGCTTCTTGAATAAAATAACATGTCAGTAGAGCACAACTTGGAAGTGGAAAAAAAAAAATCTACATTTTATAAAATATTTTTTCATCTTCAGCAAACACATTACCTCCAGAAATGTTCACTTTCTCCTGCTCAGAGCTCTTTCAGTAGTATGCAGAGTAGGACTCTAACAAATCTACCCCTTGGTTAGAAATGAGCAGATACATCGTAACTGCACACTCCACCAAGTGAAATATCCTGCCACTCCCCACATGGGATGTTTGATCTGTTCATAAAGCCTCACACATCTTAATTCTTCATATGAAGAAAAAAGAAATGGCCTTTTACTTTTGTTTGTATATATGTTTGTTTGTTTGTTTTAATATGCTAGCTTGCAAATTGAAGTTATTTTGAAGAAAATTTCCATGCTGGTGTTCTACTGAAATATGGCTAATGAAGCTGCCTTAGGCAGCAGGTTATTTACTTTCTGAAAGGTTTTATAAGCTCTCAATGAAAGGTCCCTTGGGCTATGAAACCCATTTGCTACAACATACAAAATTAGAGTTGGGAAACACCAATTAGGCTTATCAGATTCCTTATCAAAAAAAGTAAAAAGTTTTTGTGGTTTTAGGCCAGGTTTGAGACAATGTGACACTTTAAGCAAAAGGATACTATTCCAAACATTAAAATATACTCCTGCTAGGAAAATTAATTTACAGAAGTTTTGAGACATACTCACACAGAAAACTCTCTGTTCCCCTGTCTTCTCTGTTGTCTCATGTTCCTCAAACGAGAAAATGATGTCAGACACGAGAGAGAGAGAGTTGCCATCATTCTCTTTGCATCCTGAATGTCAGTAGTGCTCTGATCTTCCCAGCCTATTCAGTTCCACTTCACATTTTTTCTAGTTCAGATAAGCCTATGGTGAACTCAAAATTGATTTTATTTATCTTGTTGAATTGGGACTGAAATTTTTAAGGAAGAAAATGTATTAAATCAGTGAGAGAGAACATAACAGACAGACATGACCACATACAGCTGTATAAATGTTTGGTTTGAAATGATGGGAATAGAACCAGTAACACTTCTTTTGTGAACAGAACCACAGCCAGTGATTAAGGTTAATGCAACACTGACAGCTGATAATGCTGTCCAAATTAAGTGCAAAAGTCAACGAGTGTATGGAGCAAAAACAATATTTGAATTGAATTGGGAAAACGATGGGACAAACTACTCCAGAGAGAATGACTGTGATTTTAAGAAAGAAAATCTCTTGTACTTGACAGACTATACATTTACGGTAAGTAGGCTTATTAAATGAAATATATAAAATATTGCTGTATTTCCTTTGCTTAGGCATATTATACTTGATTTTAGGAAAAAAGGCAAATGTAGTGGCAGAGGAGTTCATCTATGGATCTGTAGGCCACAGATGTAATGAAATATCTGTTACTTCAGGAATAAAATGCATATGTCCCTAGCCTAACGATCGGTCCCTTATATGCTATTCCACATTGGTTCTTGACAACATGAAAAGTACAAGCTGAATAGATTGTTTGTAGTCGAGACAGAGAGAAATTTGTGATTTCCATAAGTTTTAAAATACTTTCTTAAGTATAAGTGATATTTTAATGTGTGAAACACATTTCATTTAATGAATGTGTGACTGTCCTTACAATCAGAGGAAAAATATGATATTTAAGTCTTGAGATAATTGCTCAGAAATGAATAGTTCAGAATTTTTCTCTGTGAAGATTTTTGATGCTTCAGGGACTAGTTAGTGTAAAGCAGTTCAGATCCTTTCATATGTGCTTCCAGCAGCCTTTTATAAGCCAGTCCTTGTTTCCATACAAAATATAAATATTATCCTCTGTTTACAAGCTCCACTTTCCTGAAGGCCTCCTGCTATTTTCTCTTCTTTCAGGTGTTTCACCCTTTTGGCATTTGTTGCTTGCAAAGCCAATGGTCTTGTGTGGTCCCCTTAATGTGGCCGGTAGAAATATTTTATATATCCTGGTAGCTCCTCTCAGTAAAGTTTATGTGAGAAAATAACCAGTAGGAATTATGGAGGTTAATTACTTTTAGGAACCAGTTTCACTCATTTTCCGCAATCTTTTCCTCTTTTCTCTGTGTCTTCCAGAGGAAATGCAGTATCAGACAACTTGAGTAGTCTAGGTTTTATTCCAAGTCTTTGTCAGTATTTTTCCAACAGATTCTGCTCAGAAAGCTTTGTATTTGGAAAATAAAGATGAGACTCTGTAGGAGCAAAAAGATACTTGCATTGCCCCCATAGTGTGAGACCCCTGCACTCTTGTAAGCTTTTGTACATCACTTGCAGTGAACACTTTGCCTTACACACACAATTGGCTTCTGCTTGGCTCTAAACCCTGGCTTCTGCTTCTAACTTATTTTGCCCAATTCTTACTGGAAAAATAGGGAAAGCCTTATGACCTTAACTAGTAATAAAAGGATTCTCAGTCAAGTTATGGAAGGATCAAGAAAAAAACCCAGATCACCTGTGAGAGTTGGTAAATGAGATGATTCCCTTCTATCTGCACACTGAATTGTTCAGGGAATAAACAGAAGCCTACCTAGCGTGCTTTTTGGTTTAGTGATGTTTTGACCGCAACTACCGCACTAAATTTTTGGCTTTTGCTATTTGAGAAGCTTCTTGATTATTTTCTCTGCCACCTCTGCTACTCCTCTGGATGTTGCCACCTACCATGGATTTTTTCCCAGCTGCAGAATTCAGAAACCACCAACCCCCTGAACACATTGGCCTTTTAGAGGAGAGGGTGGGAGCTGGGGCATAGTCCTCTGAGTCTTCAGGAAAGGTTCTCTTAAGGGATCAGGTAGGCTCAGCAAGAACTCAGCCTGCAGTCAGCAATGGTGCTGAAAGCCCTTCTCCTCCCCTTTTGGATAATTTGCAGCAAGAGAAATTACTATTAAAATCTCTATTATTAAATTCTGTAAGTATTCTCCATTGTTTAGCATTAAATCTTTAAGTTTAATCATAAGATTAATTGTTCTTCACAAGTGTGAAATATTTGATGTACAGATATCAAGCTGCATATTAGAGCTGATAGGAATTTCTATTATGGAAAGTTAAAAGATTGGATAAATGTAAAATATGTTATGAAATATAAACATCTATAAACAAAGTTAGTATTTTAACACCAGTTAAAATACCCAAAAGTTAATTTTGCAAGAAAACAACTTATGTAAAAGTTTATTTTGGCTTCTATAATTTAACCTTTTATGAATTAATTCCCATACAGGAACATGTATTAAAAATATACAATTCAGTTGACTATTTGTATATTTGCTGTTGAAGCAAATAAAATAATGATGCTTTATTACATATTGCAAGGTTATTTTTCAGATTTCAGAAATTTATTTTTGATTTGATAAGAGATATTTCTTTTTCCTTGATATATATATATATATGATATTGATTTTGTAAAATGCGAGTTCTATTTCACTAACTCTTTTTTCTGGTCATCTACTTAGTTTTTGATCTATATCTTGCTGTAACTTAGATGGAAACTCAAGCTACACTATAAATGGCTGTATAAAGATTGACAGCAGATGCTGCTGTCAATAAGGTTGATTCATTGAAAATGGATGTATTTTGAATATTCATTGTGCTTTGCTTTAAAAAAATAATTATGCTGAAATTTTTACTTCTTACATGTTAAAATCTCTATTATTCTCACCCACTGCATGCAGATCGTAGTATTTAATGGAGAATATAGAGGGCAGCCAGTAAAGAAGAGTATAAGAACCAGATGTAAGTAAAAATACAGTATTTTTACTTCTAGACTTTAGCATAGTATAGAGTAATAGTGTAAGTTGTGAATTCTGTTACAATTGCTCCTAAATAAAAATCCAAACTGCTTATTTTTATAGTTAACAGTTGATCTACATTTGAAAAAATATCCTTATTCAGCATTAGTGTAAGAGATCATGTTGACAAGTCATTCACTATGATTCAGAATCATTACACAGTTGTGGTTTCTTAAGGAAACATTTTAATGCAACTAGAAATTAATTTCTCTAACTTAAATTATTCACTTTAGGATTATTTTCCTGTGTTCAGATCCTGCATATCAGGAGCTGAACTTCTGTGACTTGTCAGGGATTCCCATCTCCCAGACCAGGAGCAGCTGAGAGCTTCATTGCTCAGGTGTACAGGGTACACAGAGCAGGAGACAACCACGGTAATGCTGAATCCGTGAGTGAGTTGGAGTATTTTGACAGGGGGACATGGATAGTAAGTGAAAGTTTTCTTAATGAAGAAATAAAATTTAGTTTAGTTCTTTTCACAAAAAAAAAAAAAAAAAAATCAACGAGCCCTGGGTCTAGGAAGTATACAGATTAAATTAAAAAAAAAAGGGAAAAAAAAAATTAAATGTGATTAACTATGTATTAAAAAATAATAAATACATTCTTTTTCTGTTGCTAGATAATTCTAAAGCCCTGATTATATTCTTGGCATTCTTGATCATTGTGACATCAATCGCTTTACTACTGGTTCTGTACAAAATCTATGATCTTCACAAAAAAAAGCTTAGGTAAGATTTGTATTTTTCTCCATGTCTTATATAAATAGAGGGAGGAGAAACTTTCTGTTTTTCCACAACATTTACCAAGGGATAATGCAAAAACGTTACAGGTTTGATATTTCATTAATATTGGGAAAAGACATCCTTTTATCTTTTAATCCTTTCAAAAGAAACTCAGTTTTTGGTGGTTTGTCTGGCAATGAAAATACAATGAAACATTTAAAATCTCTCTGCTATACCCTTTCTCAGGGCACAGAAGAACTGATTGGTGAGATCAAAATGTTTTGTCAATAGTTTTATGAAAAAAAAATTTTCACAAATATCTGGAAAACCTTTCCTTCATGATCTGAGTTAAAAGTAATGAAAATAATACCCACTTTCACAGAATCTCTTGGAACTCTTTCAAAAGCTTATTCACCCAAATCAGTATCTCAGGGAACCTTTGTTTATTATAGTCGTCTCCAGGTGCCTTGCCAGTTCTGTAAGACAGTGGTTGGCGATAGAAGAGCGGTCGTTGCCTTCCCTGACTGTGCCAGAGCCCTGGAAAGCCAGGCTGACTGCTGCTATTGCTGTGAAGGGTGGTGGTGCAGCAACATGTGAGGAGGCGTTTGCTGCTGGTAGAGAGAGAGGAGTTAGGGAAATTTCTTCAGAAACCTCTCAGTCCTTTGACAACAGCAGAACTTGGGGATTTTTCTCTTCCAACCCCTTCTCTCCCTCTGCTCTTCCCCTTAGGGGTACAGGGAGCTGCTCTTGCTCAAATGTAACTTCTGTGGTTAGGGAAGCAAAACTAATTTTTGCTTCTACAACTCCAGAGAGTCTGGCTTGTTCTTGGCTACTTGGCATTGAAACTTAATTTCATTGTATTTTATGTTTGTGTTAGGTTTTTGTCACTTACTTAACAAGAGAAACAAAGATGGTGTAAGCATCTTCATTCCAGATGGTGTCATTCCAGTGAAGCAATTAAAGACATGTTTGCTGCAGGTGATATGGACAAAATTATGCAAACAGTAAAGCTGTTTGGTGTGGTTCCCTTGTTTCTCCTCCTCAATAGTGCTCAGAGTAGGAAGATGAGGATCCCAACCACCTCTGCATAGGGCTTGTAAGTCCTAGTTGTAGCACTCTTGTTTCACAAAGAGCTTGTAATGCAGTCTCCTGCTTATGAATGGACTTGGTGTTCACATACAAAACTGCTGTTATTCAACACATTATCTTACATATGTCTTACTAGTCAAAGCTTTTACAGATGCTTTTGCTTCTTACAGCAACTCTTCTGAAGGTGTGAACCTTGTTGCAGGTGAGTATCTTTATATATTTAACAAGCAGAAATAAAATTAGTCATGTCTTGCTGCCACCTTTGGGTTGTTTACAATCTAGGTTGTATACACAGATTACAGATATCAACATAATAACTCCTCATTTGGAGATGAAAAAATATTTCAGTAAATACATAGCAGAAGTATCTATACTTAGATGAACTGAAAGTTTATCAGGTTTGAAAAATTCTTGTTTATTATTTAATTATAAACCCAACTTTATTAGCCCAGAGAATGGTTGTGATGTTTAACCCTGAGAGTAAGTTCAGAATCAAATACAGCTTCAACCAGAATTTCACTTTCCTGTGCACCTTTTTCAAAGCAAAAATTCAAACATAAGCCAGTTGGCTTTTACTGCAAAATTTTGAAGGTTTTCAAATCTCAAAGACTGAAGCTGAACATTATGTGCAACATTTTGCACAAGATTTCAAAGCCTATGAAGAAAGACAGTCAGTTAATACCAGAAAGCTTCAAGAAAAAAATAATTTGACATTGAAGCCCACAGAAATAAACTACATTAAGTGGGAAGTAATACTGTCTTGATATTCAAATCCATTTGCATAGACACACAGTTGTTTAAAAAAAAAAATCTTTTCAATGTAAATGAAAAATGAATAAATGTCTAGCTAGAGATTTTAAAACTTGTTCAATCATTACTTTTAAATTAAAGAGAATAAGTTGGAGAAAATTTGGAAATGTAGGTAATATGTGTTGTTATATTTGTAGGTTATTTTCACAGTAGTCCATTTTACTACTGATGGTAAATGATCAGAATTGAAGTAGAGGGCAAGGCCATGTAGCTGTTGTGGGTGTTGAGGCTGTTGCTGTGACCTGAATGTGACAATTGCCACTTTGTACAAAAGCGCTTTAATGCAATGTCCCTGCACGTGGCTTCCTCCTGAGGTGTCTCTAGTCAGGCGGCAGAGCTGGACAAGTTCTGTTATTCCCAGGGCCTCTTTGCTCACAGCTGGCTCAGGCAACACCTTTTTTTTTTTTTTTTTTTTTAAATAAACATACTTAGTTAAAATAAAGAGGTTTGTCCTTTTGTTAATTTAGCTGACAATTCAAGAATCACATTTCCTGAAATGTAATTTACACAGTTAAAGATGATGACAGGCAACTTCTGAACATAGAGCCAATACCTTCGGAATATTTGCTGGACACGTACAAGAGGAAGATTGCTGATGAAGGAAGACTTTTCTTGGATGAATTTCAGGTTTGTCATTGGCTCAAAATATATCACAGATTTGTAGGCAGGTGGTTGGAAGAATTCTGTTCAAGAGCATGTTTGAAGTGTATGCAATGCTTTTAAATAAAAAAAAAAAAAAGAATCTAGAAAATGGAGTGAATTCTCATCTAAGGTCAAATAAGCTTCAATTAATTTTGCTACCAAGCTCTCCTCATTATAAGATGGTGGTATTTTTTTTTTTTCCCCTGAAGATGTGTTTCAGCGAAAGTATAAAATACAAAGTGTAAGTAGTCCTCATTCTGAAGTACCTTTTAATGCATTTTTTTAATTCTTTCTCTTACTGCATAGCCATGGGGATATAAATAATACATAATTGTGGAGATATAGATTATTTATATTAAGGGAAAAGAAATCTGTTTATTTTAGATATAAGAAATATATGAACTAACATCATATGAAACAGAGCGTTATCTTCCGGACTCAGTAGTACCAAATTTCTTTCATATGCATTTGACTGTAAGTAGAAACTATTTTAAATATACACTTACCTAATAAAAGAAACATTGTATTTTACAGAGTATTCCTAGAGTTTTCACTAAATTTTCAATAAAAGAGGCCAAAAAAAGCCATAATCAGAACAAAAACCGTTACATTGATATCCTTCCATGTGAGTATTTGTTGCAATTTTTTGCATGTTTTATAAATATTTATTTTCTCAGTGCCTTGAGAGAATATAATTATTTTTTTCTAAATGATTTAAACAGATGATCATAACCGTGTTGAGCTCTCAGAGATCCCAGGCGACCCAGGGTCAGACTATATCAATGCAAGTTATATTGATGTGAGTAATTTCTATTTTAAATAAGTCTTAGGCACTATTAAAGAAATTCTGTAGTCTGTACATTTCATACATCAAACACCTTTGAGGATTTCCATTTGAGTACTTTCCATCTTTGTAATGTATTTGGTATTATTGAACTGTTGCATATTGAATTTATTTTTAAAGTTGCAAATCTTTTAAATTGTTCATGCTTCCTTTCTAAAAGTTGACAACATTGTTATTTTTATAGGGCTTCAAAGAACCAAGAAAATACATTGCTGCCCAAGGTAAATTTTTAACCTTGAAAGAATATGCTTTCTTTATTCACTCATTTTTTTTTTGTTAGAAAGTAGTAAAAAAAATTAGTAAATTTAAAGAAAAATTGAAAATCTGACATTTTGAAATTTAATATGAAAAAGTTGCTAATGTGTTCTTGCTTAGGGAATTTTGTGAAGGTAAAATTTATACTTCAAAGGCAGATTTCTTGTATAACTTTACACCAAAAGTTTTCAGATTTCACACCTATGCACTGAAATATATGTGAGACTTCTAAAATGTAGCCTAATGGCAGGAGTCCTAATGAAATCAAGTGTGTGGCTGTTATTTGCATGATCTCTGGTTAACTTTTCAGACTGCATGGCTAAGCATGTCAAGAAGGGAAGTGGTTTTTTGTGTAGCTGCACTCCTTGAAAAACTCCCTTAAAATATCTCCTGCTAGGTCCCAAGGATGAAACCACAGATGATTTCTGGAGAATGATCTGGGAACAGAAGGCAACAATTATTGTCATGGTGACTCGCTGTGAGGAAGGAAAGAGGGTGAGAAATATCCATCCATCCTTCCATCCATCCATCTTTCCATCCTTTTGTCTGAAAACAGATTGGCTTGCTGTGCTGTGGTGAATTACATTTTCTTCTTAGTACTTTGTTTTCATTCTTTGCTGTTCTCTCATTGTGACAGAATCTATGTTGGAAAGTGTGCTAAAATAGTGTTGCCTTATGGAATTACCAGTGTTATCAGAAAATGTTACTTTAGTCACAGCTGTAAGTAGCAAAGGGTGATCTTCCAAGAATAATAAATCCAGAATTTAATAAATCATAGAGTCATAGAATGGTTAGGGTTGGAAGGGACCTTAAAGATCAACTAGATCAACCCTGCCATGAGCAGGGACACCCCCCACTAGACCAGGTTGCTCAAAGCCTCATCCAACCTGGCCTTAAACAATTTCCAGGGAGGGGGCATCTACAACTTCTCTGGGCAACCTGTTCCAGTGTCTCACCACCCTCACAGTAAAGAACTTCTTCCTAATATCCAATGTAAACCTACCCTCTTTCAGTTTAGAGCAAAATCCAAGCTAACAAATCAAGAAAAGGGTGGCTCAAGGTAGAACTCTAGTTCCTCACAGACCTGTCATAAAAGGTATGGTTTGTATTTTTCTCCTGCCTATTATTTTCTGATATCCTGACAATTCCCTCAGTAAGTCCTAGACAGAATATTTTTTTTTGTCCGTTGTCTTTGTCCTTCCTTTAACTGGAAGGTTGGGTGCTTCTGGCTTGCTTTTGCTCCTTATTCCAGGTACAGCAGGAAGAAGGGGAAGTGCTATTTAACTGCTTTTAAAGATGAAGAGATTGGCAGCATGCAGATTTACAGCTCCCCAAGTTGATGTTATAGACAGGCAGGAGCAGTGTCCCTCACCGAAGACTGAAAAAGAAGCCATGGAAGTAGCTGCAAAGTTTTCTACAGCCTTCAGGAAACAGCAACAGTAGCTGTTCATTTTTTCAACTAGTGTATGGGATTTTTTCCCACTTTATGTTCCAAGTTAAATTCCATGGACATAAACTTCATGTCAGATACCTGAATTGTTGGATATTTGGAATTATTTAGCACTGGCAACCTAAGCAGTGACAGCCTTTTCAGAAGAGGACAAAGACCTGTGAGAAGTTGGCAAAACTATACTGAGTTGCCATCTTTTTTAAAATCAGACTTTCTTCTAGCTCTCAGATTGCTACTACTTTGTTGTCGTGCTGCTCACCTAACTTCATATCTTCATAGAACAAATGTGCTCAGTACTGGCCGTCAATGGAGAATGGCTCTGCAACATATGGGGACATCATTGTGAAGATCAATGAAAGTAAAACATGTCCAGACTATGTCATTCAGAAACTACACATCACAAATGTAAGTTGATTCGGAAGTGTAAGAAAGACTGACTTGAACTGGAGTGTCTATTTGGAGTCTTTAAGTCTTGTTGAGAGATTCTTTTAAGAGGAGGAGAGTCAGCTATCAATGGAAGATGTTCTGCTGTTTTTCCCTAAGCAATATACAGTTTAAGAGAAAACTTCTTAGATGTAGATGTAATTCCTTATAAGAAATATGAGTTAGACATGTATTTCCCAACTTAAAAATGTATTTTCCATATTACCATGGAATCAGCATTTAAGAGGAAACTGTTACTATGCTGTTAAGTATGGAAAACTTAACACACTGTGGTTTCCTTAGATATTTAGCTTGTTCTTTGACACAGAAATTTTACTGCTTTATGTGTTTTAGCATAACCTTCTGCAAGTAAAATCAGTGTAACTCATGGAGCACCATTATCTACCCTCAGGATAACTGTACAGTGGCACAATTACAAATTCTGGTAATCTCAAGTGCATTTGTAAACATAAGTGTTTTAAAATTACCATTTGGCAACATGTAGAATCATTGAGGCTGGCTAATTGCTCTCTTTTATATATCTGAAATCACGTGAGTTGCTCTGTGCGTAATTGAGAACAAAATTTGCCATCTAAGGCTAAATGCTTTTCTCAGGCCCTTTGCGAAAATATTTTAGTGAGGGTAAATGGAGCGTAAATCATAGCTAAAACCATTAAGACTCAAAGAGTAAATCTGCTGACAGATCTTCAGCAAAATAGTCAAGCCACAGACTCCACCCATCTTGATCTGTGATTACAGCTGGAAATTCCTATTCTGCTGTCTCATGTTGCATTAAAACTTACTCAGGAAGTAGTCTGATTAAAAGAAAGTTATAACTTAGTGTGAAGACAGTGAGAATATCAGGTTACTAAGAATTAACTATTAATAAAGACATTGCTCTATGACTAGAAAAATCTGACATTAGAAATGAGAGACTGCTGCAGGTTGAGGACTGATATTTTTAGAGCTGTCTGATCTCTGTTCAGCTGACAACATATTAATATAGATAAAACTGATATTGGTTGTGGAATTTAAGAGTGGGTCCTGGCAAGAAAGCAGACTTCTGCAGTTCTGGTGGGGTAGTGATATATAATTACTGAAACAATGGCAAATAACTATATGAATAACTGCCACAAATGCATAATTCAACTTTGAGTAAGAATTTGGGGGTTATTTACTGGGGAAATGCCCATATAGCCATACTAAATCTTGCCCAGTAAAAGAATGAGATGTCTTTCTCATTTTGTTTTATAATCATTGTTATCAAAATGTATGCCCTCTCTTTTAACCTAGCAGCAACATATGAGAGTAGGACCCAAGACCTGACATGCTTTAAGCTTTAACCAAGTGACTTAAGAGAGTCATTGTCATTGAAAATAATAGGTTTTCTTGTATCCATTAAACATTAGAAATCTGAGTTACAGTTTAATCTCCTTTTTTTTTG